GCTATATAATGACAAACATACTATGACTATGAGACTATATCTACCTTTGATATATACCATACCAATATCCCTAGTGTATTACAGATTCACAATGTACTATGCAGAGTGCAGCAACTACCATAGATAACGCATTCAGCAAGGATGAAATTGAGCGTTCAAATTTCCTAACAATGAGATTTGGTCGTAAAAATCCCAGCGAGAGGTTGGAACAGGCCCGTCGCCTTCCTCTGGGCATGTGCCGAGTTGTGTCAGTCCTCACGACGTAAACCGAGTTAATTATCAACCCACTTTACAGGACAGAGCTGTGGGCTTTGTGTGTGTGTTATGAGCCAGGTTTACTGAACTACACATGCCCAGAACAGTACACACTCACACACTTCATTCTCAGTCAGTGTTAGAAATACCCATCTGCAGTCTGCATTTTGCAGAGACATTTTCAGTATACAGTAGCAGAAGAAAAATTCAGCAACCTGCAGTTTTGCAGACTGAAAAAATGTCAGCTTTACTGTACTACACATGCCCAGAACACCTGCAGTATGCATTTTGCAAAGACATTTTCAATATAGCAGAAGAAAAATTCAGCAACCTGCAATTTTGCAGACTTAAGAAAATGTCATCACAGGCTTGGGGTTCAATTTCTGTTTACTACTGACTCTATAATATGCAAGTAATGTTGTATTTTTTTTTCAAATTTTATGTAAAATATTTGCCAACATGCAATTTTGTATGTGCAACCACAGAGTCTGACGTTTATAAAAAATTTGTAAACCTGCCAATTTTATCTTTATTTTGGACTACTAATGTTTCATCAGGTTGTTACAGAAATTAATGTTTGACTCTGTCTTCCTGATACATATTCAAGTGCATGACAATTGGAAAATTACACGTATATCGCTACGACTACGTATCCGTGTATCAACTGTGTATCTTGGAAAGCATTAATACATGTACATACATAATGTGATCTGAGTAATTAGTAATCAGATGGTGTCGCAGAGTGTGAAGATTCAAGGTGAGATGAATGATAACAGGTGTACATCCGGGATACCGGTACCGTAAATCTCTTAAGTTTTACTGTTTAATTATCTTTGGGTTTTCAGTACTAGTATATACATCTCAAATTTGCATCATTCATAATAATAATAAAAGTACATCTGTATGAAGTTAGACTAAAATCAATGGTGATATAGTTAAATATAAGAGTTTTTTAAAAATATAACCCAATGCGAAATTTTGGTTGTTTCTATAATTTACCATACCATTTTGCGTACAGCATTTATATCAGCTATCTTTACGAATACTACCCATGTTATGATATTATACTTTGCCAAAAGCAAACATATAATTTGGAGTGACTAGTGCGTCAGATACATGCAAAATGAAGCTGTTTTACGGTAGCTCACGTCCTCATCCGGGACACCGGTATTTTACCCATCACCCCAGCAGGTAATGAACCCCAAGGTCGTCTGAGGATGATGTCCTCTAGGTCGTTCACCCCTCCTGCTAGGCTGATGCGTGACCTTCATCTTGACCCGCAGCCTAGATTCAGGGACACTGACTCCACAACTGGGGTGCGTGAGCGTTGCTCAAGGTTTGAGAGTGCCAGCCAAGGACAGAGGGAGGTCAAACCGGGGTGGCGCGCCCCAAATTCGGGGACGGCGCTGCAGTGAGCGTTCCCGACCGGCGGCTGTTGTACTAAAAAATCGGACACGCTGTCGGAATGAGGACAAATTTCCCCTGGAAGCAGCGCCTCAAGGTTGGAACGAGACAGATGGCGGATGGGAGGAATTCCGAAGAATGGATGATGAGGACTACTTTCCATGAATTTGGGAGCACAAAAGGTTTACCACTCTCAATACATGTACATGCTTTTCTACAATGGTAAGGTCTCGTTTAATATTAAAACCAGAATATATATCTAAATCTACAGACTTTAATCCATGAAACAGGTGTACTATTCAAGATGGATGAGAAAAATGTTTCTTTTGTGTAGATCAAGAAATTACTGATCTGAAAAGCCCTGGAGGGAATTTGCAAGGAAATCGTACAAATGATGTGAATGTAAATGGCAATTTGTGACGTTTTGCGTGAATATTGTAAGGATTTGGTAAACAACAGTTTAAGAAGGACATCTGCAATGGCTGTTTGTTTTGTACAGAAATAAATTATTTGATTAAGAGCGTGTATTGACAATGTATGTACACATGTAACACAGTCTTCATTAGGCTGACAAGGTTGTACGCAAATAAAGAAATTGACTTGTGTTTGAATTTCTTTGTTTAGCAGTATTGCACACCAAAGTAGCTGTTTGCTGACCAGTTCTTTATTCCTTACAGGGTTAGGCAAGGTTCGTTTAAAAATTAATTCTTCGGGAAGTGTACATGTGTCTACAAAAATGGGGATAAGCTGTTTATCACAAACAAAATTCAAGGCTGGCAACTTGCAAGCATAGAAACATTAGAATGTGTCATGTTTGTATGGCCTGTATTTAAACTGTTCATGTGGCTTTAAATGATTTTTCTGTAACAATAGAGCTTTTATTTGTGAAGTACATGTAGCTGAATACTAATGATTCCAGATGTCAATCTATTTTATTGCTTTACAGATTATACTCAAATAAGGAAACAAGCTTAAGGGCACTGCTTTTAGTGAGGTCTACAATGTACAATCTGTACACAAAGTATGTACTAAGATCTTCAAACTATCCTAGTGGTTTTATTTTTGTGGTGAACTCTTTGGTGCAAATTAACGACAGTGCAACTTGTACTTCTCCAATGTATTACTATTACTACTCAAGGCTAGAAATTCATTTTTGGGAATAAGTGCACTGGTGCACCCAACCTAAAAATTTGGGTGCACAAAAAATCTTTTGGGTGCACCATACAAAATAGAATGTCTGACTCAGCAATAACCAATTGTGTTTCATTTCTAAAGAAAAGTACTACAACAATGATTTTATAATTTTTTTGACACTTGGCAATTAAGAATATGCCGTATACTACTATAAATTTAACATCTTTATAATATTCGTAAACCTGTGAAAGTATTTGGGTGCACTGGTGCACCCACAGAAAGAAATTGGGTGCACAGCTCCAAATTTGGGTGCACTAAGGTGCACATGCACCCAGTATTTTGAGCCCTGCTACTTTAAAAGAAAAAAGTGAATTCAAAACACTATGAAAATCTCCATTTCCCACCTATTGTGATAAAAAAAACATCAGAAAAGTTTGAGTATACATTGTACATTGTAGACCTCACTAAAAACCCTCGTTTCCTTGTTTGTGTATTTTGTAAAAAAATAGATTTTGTAGATTAAACATCTGGAATGATTGGTTTTTAGTTGTAGCCACATTGTAGTATGTAGTGTTCTGTATCACATGTAGCTGGGAAATTTATAATGTATAAAACATGTATTTTTATTGGTTTGTTAATCGTGCGCCTATATTGATTGCAAACCTGTAGTTTTAATATACATGTAGTTTTACAAATGTTTTGTAAATTGGTTTACAATTCAGTTGTTTTTAACTGAAAAAAAAAAACAATTAATTCATCTTAAATCTTGAATCATCTTGAATTGAATTAATGTTTCTGTGCTCACATGTTTCCACCCTTGGTATTGTATGTGAATTCTTAGGCTCTAATAGTAGTTCTCCACAAAAATGACAGAACCTTTTCACCATATCTTTATTTACATGTAGTAACCAACAAAACATTCTATATTACCAGTACTACACACAATTTATGATAATTTGAATCTTTTAAATTATCATAAACACTAAGTCTATTAATTTTGAACAACATTCTTGTGTAACGAATTACAGTTTTAAAAAAAGAAAATATTGTACTTGTCATCTTTTAAAAGGGTAATACTATTGTCACTCATGATTATGTTAATTTCTTTGTAGCACATTTTGTGAAGATGATTCAAATGGTTTTTGAACTAGGAAAGTCACATACTATATTGGGATATCTGAATGTTTGGTTTTTCTCTAGTTTATAACATAGAATTTGAAACAGGAAAATATCCTCTATTGTGTACACAAAAGGTAGACTGTGACTATTTGAATATGTCATCTTTGCTTGACTATTTCTGAGTTATTAGTTTCTCAGACATTTTAAGTCTTAACTATAGCAAGTGAACATCATTAAATCATATTCATAGGGCTAGGAGGAAAATTTAGAATTTGACTGATAGTAATATTAACGACATAAAACTAAGTGCACCATTGGGCATCAATCTGGTCATCAGAGTCTGTTTTTACGAGGTTTTTCCAGGTAATAATATTTTCTAACAATCCGAGAAACAACCAAACTAAATTGGTGTGTCCTAATCATCCTCCTTCGCAGGGCTAAAATCCTCCGGTTCCCTTCCGGTTTTAGCCCTGCTATTTACCGCTGACAGTTTGACTTCTGGTGACGTCACTTATAAATAATTCATGAGCTTGCCTTATTTGGCACAAACCAATCAGATGTCGGGGGGCTTGCCCTAACTCTGTCTCGGCTTTGGCCAGGGCTTTGGCCGCTGCTGGGAAGCCCATATAGCACAGGCTCTTCCCTCCTCCTGTCCGCACACTCAGAAAAACGTCTCTGCCATCAAGCAGCGCCCGTAGCATCGACTGCTGATGCTCACGAAGCCGCTCGACTCCAAATAAATCTTGCACGGCTCGCACGAAACTTCTAGTATCTGTAATAGCCGCCATCTTGGCCTGTCCCAACATGTAACCTGATTGGCTAATAGGTTCCCAGCGACCTTTGCGGTTTTTGCGCAAAGCTCGGTGCGCAAATTCTCTGATTGGCTGACAGCAGTTTGGCGGTGACGTCACCAGAAGTCAAACTGTCAGCGGTAAATAGCAGGGCTAAAACCGGAAGGGAACCGGAGGATTTTAGCCCTGCGAAGGAGGATGGTCCTAATAGGCCTAGGAAAAAAAATGTTGTGTTTCCTGTATCAGACCTGAAAAAAATTAGGGACGGTGGGTAGGGATTATTTTTTTAATCTTTTTTTTACTTTGGTGATCTCTAGTGATCCAGTTACACAATACACTTTTACAAAGTGAAAGTTGCACTTTTATTTTCAATGTCAATGTTGGAAAACTGATTTTACAACGTTTCATCACTCAGGTGTCAGATCATGGAGCTAGAAAAGGTCGGTCAGCTCGAAAAATTTTCGTTCCTTGCAGGGATCCACAAGAAAAGGGTAGGGTCGGCAATTTTTTCTAGGGTCGGTCGGGAAACACAACATTTTTTTCCTAGGCCTTACTAGTAGGCATTTTATATGTACACGAGGAAGATGGCAGTGAGAGATTTCTTGCCTTCCTGTCCGTCACCACTGAGAACAGACGCTGGTGAGATGGTCCATCCACTGGTCCAGGCTGGTGAGCTGGCCAGTCAAAGGCTGGGGAGACAGAGGGACACTTGTCAATCAAACGTGTACTGTCAATCACATTACACTGTGGCTGGGGCAAGACCAGGGTTATGTTCTAAATGAGAAAATCGTTATCTTTTTTCCATCAGTTTTTGGGAAAAGACTTGATTTGAGCCTGAAAAATAGCAGAAAGCCACATGCTATATGTATATATATATATATATAGCATGTGGCTTTCTGCAGATTTTACAATTACAGAATATACCCCTGGCCAAAACATACCCCCAGGTACATTCTGACCAGGGGTACATTCCTGCCTGTTACACCTACATGTATACTATACACACATAAGCTCTTTATTTATTTCTCTTTATTTCGATACCCTTTACTTTAGCAAAAGGCTAGTCTTCCTGGGTTCATTCGAGAAAAGACATTACATGTAACAAATAACATAGTGAAAACACAAGCATATAAGTTATATTATAACAGAGAAAGAGATTTATACAAATGAAGGTACATTATCTAAAAACTAATCACGGAAGTCTTACTGTTTAAACAGTTGGCAGATAGCTGATAGATCAGTCGGTCAGTGTTCTGATATGTAGTGGTAAATTTTGTTCCAAAGGTATATTGCCCTGTACTGAAACGTTCTCTTTTTATGTTTACCGAAGGAAAACATATTGTTTTTGCTCAGTTTCTTCTTCTTCTTCTCCAAACAGTGACCTCTGACCTGACCAATGACATGATTTGTTGACGTCTGTCACCATGGTGACTGGTGTTGGGTTACATAATGTTGCAATTTCATGGTCTGCTTTGCTCCTGTCACCATATACTAGTAGTACATGTATGTGAATGTATTTGAGTAAGAATTAACAGAGCAGACCATGTCCAAAGGTAAACATTATGCATTTGCTTTGCAAATGTGTTACTTCTCTAGTTGCTGTTTGTTTTTGGTTGATTCTGTAAGCTGAGATTTCCTGACCTGTAGATCGTGCAGAGTTTTCCCCTCGGGTAAGCCTGTACAGTCCACCAGCCGGACCCCCTCAGTACAGGGGTAGTCTCTCCCGATGTCCAAGGTACACGTGACTCTTCCCCCCTCACCCAGCATCACCCGCACTTGGTTCTTAGTCGCCTGGTAGTCCATGGCATACCTAAAAAAGTACAGGGTTTTAATGAACTTTCAGACAGTAGTACATTGTACATTCTTCAACTGAATTTGGTAGGGACATATCAGTGCAGTAACCAGTAATGTGTGTTTAAACGTTCTTCGAATGCCTACAGGTACAAAAATAATGTACACCTGCACAAAAATCAATGAACTTTGCTACAGGGGGTACAAGTACAAAGCTAGAAATGTAAGTTAGACATTATAAAAATCTAGTAAGTGTCCTCAGAAGACAGACCTAAAAAACAATGAGAAACCTACGGACTGTCAAGAAATTCGAGAGCTTTAAAGGCTGCTTGCAGAGAAGACGACACAGTAAAACGATGAAGAAAGACTGATTGTAGCCAGAGGCTGTTTCAAATACAGTAACTCTGATCGAGCTGTCTGTGGTGGTATGATTTGCAGCAAGATTTTCAGAAGTATCCTTAAGGCGGCACCAATTTAATTTGTTGTTTCTCTGAATTTTAAGAAAAATATATGAAGCCACAGGGTGAAAAAAAGAAAAAAGATGAAGGTCAAGGCACCCTATGATAGCAAGAAATGTTACGATATGAGCCATGAAGTCAACATACCAGGCTGGTATATAGTACTTGTAATTAAAACAATAGATTTTGAACTTTTAATGAAATGAAGTTGCAGTATTACATTAAAAACTTTAACAACTAGGAAGAAAAGGACTTTCTTTAACCATTAGGGCCAAAATATATCTTTCACTGAGCATTTTGCAGTTGATTTAGAACCTAAAATCTTTTTTTTGTTGCAAATCAGAAAAAAAGAACAGGGCAAATCCAAGAAACAACAAATTAAATTGGTGTGGCCTACCCTTGTAATGCTTAAAAACACAGTGGAAATGTAGAAATCACCAGTACCTGTGGCGTAAGCCCTCTATCTCCTGCAGGAGAGGCATCTGGGTGAAGAAACGTTCCCGCACGCGGTTCACAAGGAACAGGGCGTCGTTGGTTTCCGTGGCAACATCGATCAGATCTTCAATCTCCAGACTGGGAGGGTCAACCTGGGTCGGGAGGGAACATCTTTGATGAGTCTCAGACTGTTTTTTTAAATTACAATTTTGACCAGTCTTTTCTGTTTGGAAACTTTAAACATACAATACAACTGTAATTCACTTTATGTTCACGGAAGAAAAAATTTCAGTCTGAGAAAAGTGTTCATGGAACTATGTGTTCATGGAGCTATGTGTTCACCGAACTATGTGTTCACAAAATCATGTGTTCACGGGGTGGCAGATGCAGAAAAAAGAAAGTCTCCGATTTATCTCTAAAAGTCTAATTATAGTTTTGTGGTGACCATGAAAACTGCAGACGTAAAAGTAGAGTGAAAAAAAAAACAAGAATTACAGTAGTTACTGTCTGTAGTAATCTATAAAATCTCTGATAGATTACTAGAAGAAGTGCACAAATATTTCTTTCTGTGAAATTTATAGCACACTGAAATTTTCAATTGACTAAAGCCTAAGGAAATATGGAAGTGCTCCAAAAGGACAGGCTGGAAGGACATGCCATTCAATGCCTGGGCAACTGAGCTCTACTTTCCAAGACTTCTCATAATCTTTGAATGCACAGAAGATCATCAAGATTTGGTCTTACCACGGCTCCTTCTAAAGTGAAGCCCCCTGTCAACTGTTCCCTGAAGTGCAGGGTGAGAAGTGGAACCACGTTGCAGGTAGAGTCTGGTGGAGGCAGGAGTTTCACAGTCAGACTCTTCCCCACCACAGAATGTTCCTCCACACCACTCAACTGGCTCAGTACTCTGTAAGCTTGTTTGCACCTGGAAATTTTGGTGTTAATATAAACTGTTATAATACTGTTACTAGTGTTAGTCACTTTATCTTCATGATAACAAAATGTCACGGTCTGAGGAAAATGGACATGTTCACGGAATTTAATCGCCACTGTGGCAGGAGATGGGGAGAGGGAAGACAGACAAATAATTTGATAACGGTAATGATAAGTTCATGGTACAAATGAGACCGTGAAAACTGTCAACATAAAAGTACCGTGAAAGAATAAAGACCAGAAAGGTACATGTAGCATAGCATATGCATAACATTAATATTTGCAAAGGCATATGATCTGCTCTGTTAATTCTTACTCAAACACATACATATATGGTCAAACAGGAGTCTAAATCCCTCCTGCTATAAAATTGCAACATGACGTAACCCAAAACTAGTTACCACGGTGACAGCCTGTCTGGTTCAGGTCATTGACCTTAATTTTGTTAGAAGAAGAACAGGAAGAAGAAACAGAACAAAACCACTGTTTTCCTTCTGCGAAGGTACACATAAAAATTAAAAACCAGAACATGTCCAGTATTTACCATGCAGTGTGTTCCCTGACCCTCTCTGTGCCCTGCTCTCTCCTGTTCACTAACTCCTCCAGGGTTTTCTCTGCTGTCTCCTTCTGGGAGAGAAAGCTGTCCCTCTCCTGGACAGCCTGTGTCAGCTCCTGCTGTAACCCCACCAGGACAGCGCCACAGGACAGCAGCGCTGCCTCAGCCTTCCTCACCCCATCACTCTGCTGTTCCAGTACTGCCGCCATGTCAAAGGTTTGGTCGATCTGGGAATAGTTTCAACAGGTTGGTAAGTCACTCAACAAAAAAAAAGATAAATTTGGAACTGGTGAGAAGCCTGCTCCGGGCTAAGTCAGGGTTCTAGCTAGTGCTAAAAGCCACGCTTAGCCTATTTATTTGTTGCGACCACCTAGCTACATGTAAATATAGGACCATAATTTCAAACTAGTGTAACAGTCCTTGGAGGAACGACTTTGACGCAGGCCACTCACAGAGATGAGGAGACCTACTCAAGTAAGTAAGTACAAGTAACAGTCCTTTCATATTGGTAGTATTCTCTTAAAGTCAAATTATGGAGTTGCTTAATTTTTCTTCTGCAATATTGAAAATGTCTCTGAAAAATGTAGATTGCAGATGGGTATTTCCAACAGTGAGCACTAAAAATAAAATCCTGACTAGCTATGGAACCCTGTAACTAAAGTCTCCAGAGAGTCCAGACTAGTGATGCATACCGGTTCACTGGACTTGGATCCGGACTTGTAAGAATGTTTAGGTTCAAGTCCAAAAAAACCTAAAAGTCAAGAACCGAGTCCGGACTTATTACCATAAAAGAGTCCATTTCACATACCCCTTTTCTTTCCAAACCACCTAAAACCTTCCGTAGATTGTAAAATCTTTGCTGCAAAACGAAGAAAACACTGCCATCAGGCATCGTCAAGTACCGACCTTCATGTTATGTGGCCAAAGTTTCACCCAGACAACATTGCAAGGTTGCCAACATGCAATTTGTATATGCCATGGGTTTAGGTCCGGACTTACAAGTCCGGAACTGAACCTAAACCTCTGGACTTGAATCCGGACCTGAACCTAAAATTGGGTTTAGGTATGCATCACTAGTCCAGACATTACCTGAGGAAGGTTCAAGAGTTGTCCCACAGCCTGGTGCTTCTGTAGAAGGTCTTGGAGCTTGGTTTGCTGAAGAAACAGACAGACAATCCCAGTGTAAAGGCTCCAATATACGTTCTTCTATGGTTATTTTAGCACCTGTTTCAACATGTACATCCATGAATAGTTTCATCAGGTTGGTAAATCAATGAGTAAAGAAACTCTTTTTTCCACAACCAAGTGTTTTATTCACAGCCGACGTTTTGGTGACTGTCTGTCACCTTCCTCAGGGCAATTCTGACTGGTTCACATTGCACTGCAGCACAGGTGTCGCTGCTATAGATGCATTCCCAAACGTACAATATTTACGATACGTTGACTGTGAATAAAACTTGGTTGTGGAAAAAACAGCCTCTTTACTCAAGACAGGCACTATAAGTATAATCTAAATAGTATATATTCTTTTATAGCTTTTACATGTACATTTTCTAAAACAGAGAGAAATGATTGCAAGTATTTTTGATCAAGTAAACATCGATCTGAACCTAAACGCACACGTTTTGATTGGGTAGAAGTATGTTTTGCTCACCGTCTTCTCTACCTTGGTGATTCTCTCCTGTAATTTGGCCACCTTCTCTACATGTTCATCGTATTCTGAAATATTAACATATATACAAAACTCATTATCTATATCCAATAGATGTACATGTAGATAGTGTGTAAGTGTGTGTGCATGTTTGAATCTGGAGTACATGTGTGTCTAATGTGTTTGGGAGAAATTAATTTAGAGCTCAGATATACTAGAGTACATGGCACATTAAAGTCTTAATGTTTTATCATTATAATCTTTCATTATAATATTATTATAATCTCAATATGTCATCTTTATAATATGTTAAGAATCTTAACTGAAATTAAAAGTTGGACTCTCTTATTAAATATATCTAGAAAAGAATTTTAAAATCTGAATGTACTGTATTCTACACCTTACTGATAATCAGAATACAAAAACTATGTTGTACTAGTACTGACTAGAGTAGCATTAATATTCTAACTTGCAAGTACATTATTGTACTTGTAAGTTGTAGTACTAAGGATTACTTGTGTTGGCCTGTTGAGCTAGGTCTGACAACTGTTTCTCCTGCTGTGCTGCTTCTTTCTTCAGTCCTGATGCCTTCTTCTTAGCTTCCTTCACGTCTACATCTGTATGTAAGACATGGGGCACAAACATGGCTCAGACAACTTCAACCTTGTAAAAGTCAAAATCTAAAAGTAATGCTAAGTTAGACTTAAAAGGAGCAATATTTTCCTGTCTAAGTTAGGCATTTATTACTTTATATACTAAATATTTGTCATTGTGGTATCAGCATTTTTCAATTTGAAATATGGTACAGGAAAAAGTTAAGGTAGTCCTTTTTGATGTCATAGGAGCAGTGGGTTGTTGTTACACTGTGTCTAGGGCAGTCAGTATTAGAAGGCGGAGGCGAGCCCATCCCTTTTTACTTCCTAGCCTTTTACCCCAACTGAAGACAAGGTAACCATTTTACACCAGGGTAGAGTGGGGCAAGTCTTTTAAAAAGAGTGTGTTTCCCAAGGACATGATGTACTAGTATTGCCATGAATGCAAATTAGGTCAAACCTGTGACATCTTAATATTGCAGCTCCTTGCCTTGGCCACTTGGGGATTCAGTTCAAAAACCATAAGCAATTGAAAGCACTCCTGGACTCACCCACAGCCCCGTACTCAGGCCAGCTGTCCCTGCCCTTCTCCAGGTACTCCATGATCTTCACTCTGGTCTGGAGCTCCAGCCATGTCATCTTCAGGTCTGAACACTGGCCCTGGACAACACACGGGACAACTAGTCACACAACCTTACAGGGTTAGACGCGTAACACTGGCCCTGGACAACACACGGGACAACTAGTCGCACAACCTTACAGGGTTAGACGCGTAACACTGGCCCTGGACAACACACGGGACAACTAGTCGCACAACCTTACAGGGTTAGACATGTAACACTGGCCCTGGAGTCCTGGACAACACACGGGACAACTAGTCGCACAACCTTACAGGGTTAGACATGTAACACTGGCCCTGGAGTCCTGGACAACACACGAGACTATTACTTAAGTATTACTACTCAGTATTACTCACACAAACACAACCTTACACTAGTTACAGGGTTACACATGTACATGTATCACCCAGACCCTGTAGGCTGTACAACACACAAGCTCACTGGGTTATAATCATGGTCATGATTTAAAGTTGAAATAAAATACTCTATCAATGCCTGAAGAGTATATATTTTTCAAAATACAGGGCTCCAAATTAACTTTTTGACCTAGGAGCACTGTGCTCCTAACCATAAAAAGTTAGGAGCACAGGCTAAAATCTAGGCGCACCAACAAAAAATATTGTATTGCAAAGGTGTTAATATATTAAAAACTAAGCTAGATCATATTTCCATTAAAAAAAAATTCTATCAGCATCCTTAATTTTGAAAAAATTGGGCATAGGTTCCCCGGATGACCCCTAACCGGGGGCCAACGGTGCTTCCACAAGTTCAACAAGTGAAAAATACATGATACAAAATGTACAAAACTACCTGGAACTTGGAGCAATTATTCCCAAAGGTGTACCTGACATTGATATATTAAAACCTAAACCAAATCCTATTTCCCAAACAAATCACATATTGACACAGCTGAACAAATAACAAGAAGCCATAGGCGACAATTCTCCGTGAAGTATTATATATTGCAACAAAAAGAAGTAGCCATTGGCGACAATTCTCTGTGAAGTGTGATAAATCGAACAAAGAAAAATTGTTTAAACGCGCGTCGGCTCAGTCATCTTAAGACGCAACAACCAATCAGAGATGCGAGATGCCTACACGTGACGCGGGAAGGGCGCGCGATGCCCGAAATATTTTTGCGTCAATATTCAGCGCCGTGATTCAAGAGATTAATACCCGGAAACAATTTTTTTCTTGTTTTAACGCATTAACATGCATTTACGCTAATCTAGTATGATTCAGGGTTACTTTTTTTTAACCTGCCATGGCCAGATTATCTAAATATGTGTGTATTGTGTGTACAATCTATAGAAAGAGAAATGTACATCAGGTCCGATCATCCGATTTTCACGTTTCGGTTTTTTGGACTCGGTTCATGAACGTATTTTGGTTTGGCTCCTGGAATGTGCAAAAAAATGACTCCCGGGACTGTCTACAGGGAACACTCGCACATTCGCGGTGTATCAGGACAGCGCGACTGGTCGTCATTAGCGCAGTAACAGTTGCATAAACGGACGAAACCATTTCAAAGAAATGGGGATGTTTCGAAAATAAGCATTTACTCCAATATCAAAACAGCTACGGTAAAAATAAAAAGACGTGCATCATCCCGGACATAATGCAACACCACATGCGAAATTACACAGAAATGCGACGTACGGAAGAATGCGTTTTGGCTGCGAACATCTTCCAAAAAACTTGGCATCTCTTAACCATGGGCAAAAACATCTGGAACCACTTATAAAAACCACCCCGTATCTGCATGAACTTTTTTTGAACCCCACTGCTATTCCAAACAACGCGTTTTTCTGGACCATTCCAATTCGCCTCGTAATTGTAGGGGTGCGTCTGCGATATTACATTGACCGCGAAAGCAGCAACGGCAAAAATACACATTCGTGCATCAACACGGGCATGCCCGCAGACGGCGTATAAAATTGCGTGCCGATTACACAAAGAGAACCCAGTGTTTTGACTGCGAACATGAAAAATCAGCCGATTACAACACTCCGTCCGGAGGTCCTGACCTCCTTCACGGAGTAAAAATGTGATCATGTCTATAAACTCCACTCAAAAAATCTCATCTGATTCTCCCAATGTATTAGGGACTTCACAATCACAGCATCCAACCGCACTAACACAAGAAACCAAGAAATTCGGAAAATTTCTCAGTAATGTTTGAAAATTAACCTTATAAAAATATAAGTGAATTTTTATTTCAGTTGTAGCCGAGAAAAAATTTTTTTCATGCGTTTAAAGTTTCGTTTTAGCACCTTGTAATATATACATAGTACATGTACTAGTATCTTGTACATTTGGATGCTATCTTGACCTTTGACCACTGTTATTGTGAAACACCGTCGGCCATTTTGTCAGTCTCGCCGTAAATTTTCGAGCCGTTTTTCGAGCAAATTTCAACGGTTTTAAACATTTTACGGCCTCAAAAACTCATATAACGAGGAAAGCAAGTTGTAGTTGTTATTTTCATGCGTAACATTTCTTCTGGGGATGGATTATTTTTCCGCCGAGCTGCCGAAAACTAGCGTCATGCCGCGACCATGTGGTCGGGCGCGGCCGGCCGGCCGGAGTATCGGTGAGCTTTCACGATGTGAACAAAGACATTCGGAGTTGTTCACATGAAAATTTTGCTGTGAAACGCCAGTGGGGTGTCAGATTTTCTACCAATGACAACGTTTTCTTTGCGGCGTCATGGCGAGATCGACAATTCATCGTCAATTCACAAGATTGTGCCGACAAATGGAATGAATAGGCTAAAATTTTTATTGGCGCACCGTGCGACCGTGATTTCAAATGTAGTCGCACCGTCAAAATTTTGGGCGCATATGCGACCAAATCAGTCGCAGTCACGAGCCCTGTAAATATACTAGATAATAGATGTATGTACATAATCATTTGAAGCAAAAGTTGAATTTATATCATCTGGGCATGCAAGTAGGTTTCAATCATATAGACATAAGTAATAAATGTTTGATCAGCAAAAACTATCATGGAGTAAAAAATTTATTATGGAAGATTAAGTATGACACTACATATTTTTCTGTGACCCTTTCACATCGCATCACAATAAAGTCTGCAAGTTTTACTCACCTTGGTGTGGTTCAGGACAGACCTGGCGTTGTAGTCAGACTCCTGGAGCAGTTCCTTAGCCTCAACTAACTTCAGGTTCTGTTGTGTCACTTCCTCGAGTACCCTACACGTACAGAAATTATGTAGGTACAGATGTGGGGTGTACGGTGTCATGATTACTCACAAAAACAACTCCAGAAAGAATGGTAAAAAAACGACTTTCTACTTACAGTATCTGACAACCAGCCACACAGGTATGACAAGACATATTGCTGACGCTACGTGCAGAGAACATGCTATGGTTTAAAGTCAAGCTTGAGAGAAAAATGGTCTTGAAAAAATTCACCTTCTGGAATCCACCAAAACGTTTGCCGCCGCCATCTTGTCGTTCGTTTGAATCAACCCGCTCTTCTCGTCCTCAGGGCTGCAACCTTGGACCAATCAAAATGCGTAAACGGGCGCTCTCGTTCCCAATCAGGAAGCCGTCTGGTAGATACCAAACTGGATGGAGGGGTGGACAGCTTAATTTCGTTGAATGTAATGACGGTCTATTGGGGACTCCTAGCAATATTGGAGCAAACTGCAGGTAAATAAAAAAATGCAGTGAAACGCGCTTTGTTCATGTTATGGCTGTAATAACGATTTGTAAGCGATGTAGCATGTTGTGATAACATTAAATTCCTCTACCATGATACAGACTTAGACAGAGAAGAAAAATTAAAACCTGTTTCAATTCATTCTTCCTTTTATTCGCCAGAAAACAGTTACTCAAGCAACTGGATATGATTTTGGAAACGGTCAGACTTTTATTGTCTGTTGTGCGTTCGTTCATTCGTTTATCGCTGGAATATCAAAATAAAGTCCAATTGGTAGTTTTGAACAGGATTGATATACATTGTATGTATATATCGAGTCACCTTGGTGAGTCAAAATAAAAAGTGGAAGGGTTGACAACGATGATTGCGCGCAAATATTTCGGGCCATGTGAATAGTCAATACTCATTGAAGTTTGAGTATTGAGGTTGACAATAAGGGGCTAAGAAAAACGACATGTTTAATCTGTGATTTCATACGATAATTAGTGTATACCTACGTGTATACCTGCCTGTTTGCAAGCTGAAACTTTTGATGCTGAATATCTGTGAATGAAAAAAAGGGAATTTTGGTCTATTGCTGCCACCTACCAATTTGAGAAGGAACTGCACGTGAGAATATTGACATGTAGGAGGTTTGCGATGATCATTGATAGGGCTGCAGATTCCCACGTATGTTAAACCATTTGGCGTCGCGTGTGGAATTCTTAAGATTGAGCGCCTTCATCTTATACAGCATGAGAAGATAACTCGACGTTTGTTTGTTTGTTTGTTTCTTTGTTTCTTTGTTGGCTGCATAAACAGTATCAAATTGGCCAGACAGCATCCATTTGCCTGACAATTTCCATTTGGGTTCACCTAAAAAGGTAAGGACAAACGTGCAAATAAGAAAGCCCGATACCCCCCCCCCCAAAAAAACACGCCAAATATAAGCCCAAGCCTAAACCTTTGCATATAACGTTAGTATGCTTTACTATCCATACAGTGCCACAAAACCCTAAACTGGGTTACTGGGCCAAACTCCAAGGTACCTATTAGCCTGAAATCGTCCATTAAATATGAAAATAATTACAATTTCGCTTGGCAATTTTACAGAGGGAAAATGTACTCTAAATCGTTGCACACTGTTAGGAATATTTCATCGTCATTTGGGAAAATATCATCACTGGGCGCATCACGTTGTTAATTATTATAGTTGTGCTTCCCAAGATAGCTAATTAAGGTCAACGACGCGTACTTTATTTTTGTGTTCACAGCAAAATCCGACTTTGAGGGTCAACTGTCTGGGGCGGCCGGAATAACGAGAGTTATTCTCAACAACAAGATACTGGTTATCCTGGGAACGAGTTCAGAACAATTGTGATATTACAGATGTTTAAAGCGATATTATGTAAGATTTTTGAGCCAAAACTGTAAATATATAGATAATTGAAATTTTCTCATCTAGAATGTCACTTTTAATTACTGTTAACATTTTAGTGTCGCCATTTCCCTTTTCCGGCGACTCAGAGCAGCGCGAGAATAAGTTGCGCAAGACCCGCTGTAATTTTAGGAGGCTACTAAAAAGAATATAAACAAACAGCGGCCTTCGTTCGGGTATCTTCGGCAGCTTCCCGTGAACATATTTTTGCGGCGCAACGACGTTGATCTTGTACTCCCCAAATGTCATTATGAACCCAGGTAGGCTTACAGGACAAGAAAATGTGTAAATCACAATATCGCTTTAATTTTTAGCCCCGAAGGGACTGGTTAGTGTTGGAAACGTATACACTGATTATATGCCCGTATACAAGCCTTATTTTACCACACAACACAACGCAACACAACACAACACAATATAACACAACACAACACAGCACAGCACAACACAGCACAACACAGCACAACATAGCACAACACAGCACAACACAGCACAGCACAGCACAACACAATATATTAAACACAACACAGCACAACACAGCACAGCACAACACAACACAACATAGCCCACACAGCACAGCACAGCACAGCACAGCACAGCACAACATAACACAGCACAACACAACAGGACAGCACAACACAACACAATACAGCACAGCACAGCACAACACAACACAACATAGCACAGCGCAACATAGCACAGCACAGCGCTAGCACAGCACAACACAACACAACACAACACAACACAACACAACACAACAACACAAAACATATCTGTCTCATACATGTACGTAGGCAGGCGGCTGGAAAGAGTAGAAATCGTCCAAATAGAGAGATAACATGTCAGAGGAGTTTGGTCGGCGGGAGAGAACAGTTTGCCGCCTCCCGAAGCCTGGTAGAGGCTAACACGTGTGTTCGAGGCTTCATGGAACTCTCTCTTGTTCTACGCGATCACAGAAACGATAAAATTTCGATCATTTGCGCAGAAAAGGCTTATAGTCACGTCAGATACGGTTAGGGATCGGGGGAGGCGAATAATCCCTGTTCCTATATATTGATTTTCAACCCATAATACCGGGAAACAGGAAATAGCCCATCTAGATCCACTGGTCTTGATATGGACCCGTAGGCATCAGGGTAAGGCCACAGCAAGTAATTTTTATGGATGACATCAGCGCGCACATTGATTTTCGCCTGATTTTGGAAAAAGAAAAGAAATTTTGTTGCCCTTTGACAGTGGTCAGCATGCCGAAAGTGGGCAAAATGGCATGCCTTGCCATGCTGCAACGTGGATGGCAGATAAACATGAAGAGAGGAGACAAGACAAGGCTTTGATTTACTATTATTGTTTTGACTTTTACTTTGATGCAGTGAAGTATTTCATTCCTTTTATGTGTTCCCATTGAACCAAAACCATTTGTACAATGATTGAAAACTTTTCTTTTTCAAAGTTGTTTCAGTGACAAATGGATGTTGTGATAGTTGGCAGTTGAGTTAGCACAATATAGGCATCATTTCTTGTTTAACGGGGTTTATGATGTCAAAATATGAAAATGTAGGAATCTTGGTTTTTGTGCCCGTCTTGTTTTTTTCGCCCTCTCGCATTAGATTTGGAGTCTGTGGAGGATGTCATCCATAAAATTGACTTCCTGTGGCCTAATGTTATGACCAAATGATAGGGTACTGACGATAAGTACATACATACTGATGAATGCATAGGGTGCATGTTGGTGCTGAATGTGAGTAGAATCATAATCGTGTCCTTCCGAGCTTGTAATATACAGAGTCGATGTGGTTCTTATTTATGACATGACAGAGAAGGAAAAAGCTATGAGGGAAGTACAACATTTATGTACTTCTTCAAATGTTCATTTACATTAATACAATACGCTTTTAGCTTATAATTATAGCTTATACGATACCACTCGTATACATACACACGCGCGCGCACTCACTCACTCACTCACTCACTCACTCACTCACTCACTCACTCACTCACTCACTCACTCACTCACTCACTCACTCTCACTAACTATACTGTGCCAGTACGAACTTTGTCTTCATCGCCACTTGACTGTACCCCTACACCCCTCTGGGTTTGCACCGATAGCTGCCCCTATGACTTTGCCCGTACTAGTACCTGTCACCCCCCCCCCCTATCGGTTTGTTCCGATAGCCCCACCTGGTCCCCAGTATGAGCTATGTCTCGGTCGCCAGTGGTCCGTATCCAAGCTAAATTTAGCCCCTGGTTGACGGAAGAAAAATAAACATGCCGAGTCCACTCCACACGGAGATATATCAAACCTCGCCGGGTCACTGAACTTTGTTTCAAAACACGAGGGCGGCTCAAACACAGAGTTAAAACAGAGTCAGATTCTTTACTGACCGTCAACAAAAAAGTACAGGGACTTTTGTATGATTTTCTACAACTAAAGATTAAGTAACAAAACTAAATACATGTGTGGATAATGTCACCCTACGTACAGACTATATGTATGCGGTAAACTACGTACGGAATATACGTATGCGGCAACAATGAATGAAGGGAGGAAGGGAGGAAGGGAGGAAGGAAGGAAGGGAGGAAGGGAGGAAGGAAGGAAGGAAGAGAGGAAGGGAGGAAGAGGGGGAAGGAAGGACGGGAGGAAGGGAGGAAGGAAGGAAGGGAGGAAGGGAGGAAGGAAGGAAGGGAGGAAGGAATCTTTAATTTACGTGTCTTGCAACTTTTGTCGCCCAGCCCATTTTAAAGACACCAGGACATAAACATGAACATAAAACATAGGTACAGAAATCATAGAAACATAAATCCAAGTCCAAATCAAAGGTCAGACTAGAGACATCAAATGAAATTAAAAAAAAAAAACTTAATACAACGTTGTACATAACATAATTGGTACATAAAAGTCAAAGGTGCACAAAGACTGCACAAAAAAAAGGAGGACACAGAGGTGGCTCATACAGCGATCCGATGTATTTGATACTAAGTATAAAGTCGTCTGACAAATCGTGACGTCGTTGCAAACATCCTTGTGAAAAGTCCTACAGTATGGCTGTTAGGACTGTCATAAAAGAATTAAGGGCTCACTTAGGGGGTAATGTAACGCAATTTTGCAGGGAGTTGTGTTATCCTTAGCTTAGACAATCAATCAAACATTTACATACATACAATCATACACAAAATCACACACAGTGCCACACACACACACACACACACACTCTCTCTCTCTCTCTCTCTCTCTCTCACACACACACACACATATATAAACATACACGCCATGTACACAGATAAGATAGACACACACACTGACATGCACACACACAAGCAAATAAACATTCAAACACACACACACACACACACACACACACACACACACACACACACACTCTCTCTCTCTCTCTCTCTCTCTCTCTCTCACACACACACATATATAAACATACACGCCATGTACACAGATAAGATAGACACACACACTGACATGCACACACACAAGCAAATAAACATTCAAACACACACACACACACACACACACACACACACACACACGCAAACAAACAAACAAACAAACAAACACGTCATTTACACATACACACGCGCGCGCTCGCATACAACAAACATATAAATTCATAAGTTACTGTAAGCCGGGTTCCAGGTTACCGTTAAGCGTGGTATGTTATCATCTCTGGCCCTTGGAACTGTCACCCTGGAAACGCAATATAGTCAGACAAGCGTTCGGGAACATGCAATTTGTGACGATTGTCCTGCCAGGACGGATCACAGGAGCTTGTAATGTTCTCACAAACGTCTCCTGACAACTAGAGACAAGCGGACCCACAACAACTCAAGACTGATGAAACTATTGTCTGATTCTTGTAGTTCCAGAAAGATCCGCTCGAGAAGAATGACGTGGGCTACGCAGTAGAATATTCGGCGGACGTGCGGAGAGGTCAGTGCGGTGCAGGACGTGTTTATTCAGCGGGAGATCAGCGGGGACATCCCGCCCAAATCTCTCCCGTTCACGGAGTCACGTGCTCCGCCCACCTGTTCGTCAGGTTGCGTCTCGTCCTCGGGCCGTGCTCTCCAGTCCGCTAGGGCGGGTACACGTACGTACTGCCCCGCGTCATGACGACATAATTACATCGATCCAGCGCACCAAGAGGACCCACTACCGGCAACTTGTCGTCTGTATAGCGGCGATGGGGGTTTCCGTGTCGCGGCGGATCGAAGCGCGTACCAGGCAGGTCCAGCAGGCCACGCAGGTGGTGGCGGCGTTCCGCGAGGCTTCGTCCGATGGAAGTAAGCAGTGGGCATCGCCGGTGCCGGCGGCCTCTGAGGAGCAGGGCAAGCGTACGCCCGCTGAACCGGACGGTCGGGAGGTCTCGTACACGGACACATCCTCGGCGTGGGCCATGCTGCAGACAGGGGTACATCCCAAGGATATCAACGTCGGCGCTCTGCCGAAAAAGACTATCAAGAACGTCAAGAACAACAAGCCCGGGCAGGAGCAACGGCAAGATACACACCAGCGCGCACTGGAACAACAGAGGCCCCCAGGATAACACAAGCGTCATCCCGTACGAAAGTACAGAACAGGTAAGACACTTCGCTACGCATCATGTTATCTGATATCGCACTAATCCATCATATTCATATTCCACTTTTGGGCGTACGTGGTGTATTTTTGAATCGCATTAATCCTGACCCAATATACACAACCGTATCAGGCTACATTATCGTGGCCAAACATTTGCATTAGCAGTTGACAGACAACCTTTGAACTAACGCCATCACTCAGTTGTATGTCTGTACTAGAAACCCCGTACTGTAGAACAGTTCGGCATACAAACCTCATTGTGTCATTTTGTATCTGCCAGTACTCGTACCTTGTATGTTGTAGAGGATAATCATTCAACAGAAACCAATAGAAGAAAGAGGGACTGTACAGGAAGACAACTTGTAGTGGCAAGCAATCACCTGTTTTGTCTCCCCCTCCGTTTTTTAATGGAGAAGTTAAATAAAACAAAGTAAAGCAACAGAAGTTCCATGTGCTAAACAGTGTGTGTGTGTGTAGACCTCGCCATAGCCACACCGGCTAAACAAACAAAATGAACTTAAATTCTCACTAATTACACAATTAGAAAACCTCAGGGCTTGTGAATAAGGTATCCACCCCGATAGGGATAACGCCCGCATGCATTATATAACAGCAGGTGCTTTTATTATGGCAACAAGTATCGTATTTTCCCTGTACAGTTTTGGTACCGCCTGGGTGCCAGACGGGGGCCTGTGTAGGGTACACAAACCTACGTTTTCAATGCCACTTCCTTCTTTCTACCTCCAATTTACGCAGCGTTTTTGTGGCTCATATGTAGTGGTGGGGGGATCAATTAGGTTTTGTACACGCATGCGGTTAGCGAACTTCCATTGAAATTCATCCGCTGGAATAATCAATTCGGCTAAGTGGGAGCTCACTGGAGACATGACACTTGTGCTTTGATGGACTCGTGGAAAGTGATAGATGTCACAGGAGGGTTGTGTGTCTTCCCATGATACCAAGCGTGTCTCCTGTGCGACTGGGTATGCTTTGTCACGTCCATAAACATCACAGGGAGAAGAACATCAAATAATTATATTCAACGCATAATTTTACCACACTAGACTAAGTACAGGTCACAGCAAAACATGTTGAACAGATATAGTTAATAGATACAAATAAAACTACAAAAGTGACATTTGCAAAGCAAATGCACAATGTTTACCTTCGCATAATCTGCTCTGTTAATTCTTACTCAAACACATTCATACATATATGGTCAGACAGGAGTCTAAATCCCTCCTGCTATAAAATTGCAACATGATGTAACCCAACACTAGTAGTTACCATGGTGATAGACGTCTGGTTCGGGTCATTGAGGAAGGAACTGAGCAAAAGCACTGAATCAGATATGTTTTTTCGATGGAAGGTTTGTCTAGTTGCAGTAGGAATAGGAATTTTTCTACAGTGAATTATAACCTGTACAGACAATGTGGGGGTGGACGTTTTGATAATATCTCTACCGACCAGATATGCCCAAGCCATTGCTTAGACACCAAAAGTGTAATTGAAGAATGCGGAATACATGCGATCCAGGAAATATCAATCAGGAAAAGGTGGTTTAACGTTGGATGAAAATACCCTTCCCGAATAGAGAAATCCACACCAATAAGCTATATGCACGAGTGAAAGAAAGAGCACTGTGTTGTCCGTCATTTGCAATTTGTTTTCTTTTCTATTACCAACTGGGCAACACTTTTTCCATTTATGAGGAGTCTCGATCACTCCAATAGTTCAAAATAGCTGTGTGAAGAATCTAGGTCATGTTTTATTGTTAGAAATACTTATCGAGGTTTATTATATTGCCTTACACAACCTCGCATATACATACATATCATAACTAGATTGTGTACGTGGGTTGAGTTACTGACAGCAGATTTAATTAGATTTGAACAGTGAGGTGAATCTTCTACGGTGGTTCTGATGCAGTTTTTAGGCCTTGGAAACCAGATTTTCAAAGTCAATTTTCTAGTCACTTATCTACATACTAAGTTGAAACAAGACTGTCCAAATGTATATCGACATTCATGGAGCAAAAAATGCCCAAAAATCTGACGAAAAACGGTTATTGGAAGGACCTGGATTGATTTTTAGGGTACCACCCAGAAAATAAAGGTCTAATCTTGAGGCTTGTTTCTGAAGTTTTAAATGCTCAAAGTATGAAATACTGATGCAAATGTGCTAATGTGGGGCAGTATGTGTCAATATCATATAGATTGCCTTATTCAGAATATTTCCAATTTTGACACCCTGAAAATGCATTGGATGCCTTGGTATGTATTACTTGACGTCAACACGGACACTATTATAAACAGCTCTTGGGCAATGCGGCTCCTGTTAACTACAGATAAGAGTGTTACAGATACAGGGACAGTAGTGACGACCGTGGATGTGTGAGTATCATCTATGCATCTCTGTCATTTGAAGTGTGGGCGCTGGTATAGAGAAGAGGAAATGAAACTGTAATTATATCACACGGCAAGGGCCTTTGATCTCGATTGCTTCAAACATATCCTGGTCCTCTGCAGCTCAACAGGACGCTAGAATATAAGGCAAGACGATCTCACTTTCTTCTGTATCCTGAAGGATGATCGTCTTAAGTTACGTAGAAGCAAGTGACGGTCGTGTGGCGTAACGGCAGAGCATTCGGATTGAAACCGAGTCCCAGGGTTCGAATCCTGCCAAGTCACAAACCTTGTGCCGGCGCCCTTGGCAAAGGCACTTTACACGACTTTCCTCACTTCGATCATGTGAAAATGAGTACGCCAGAATGATCATTATCATGATCGTGGGCATTAGAAGAAAACCAAGCCATGCCATGTGATCTTTACTGTATCCGTAAATTGTTGCCCTGAAGAAGGTGACAGACGGTCACCGAAACGTCGGTCATCTTCGACGGTCATCTTCCTCTTATGATACATGAACATAGAAATCCCTTTAATTTATTTTTTTACAATTTGCGTCATGTTGATGTCATCTTAACAGCTGCAGCTAGTGTGGTTGAAGTCAGCCTTGGAACCAGAGAAAACGCCGCGCTTTTAATCCGGTACCTTTTCAAAAGATTAGCGGGGAGTTGGAGGGCCTCAATGTGGGGATTAGTGTTTTTGTACACAGATACACAACAGAATTAAGTACTTAACAGACGGAAGATGCCTTCCTTGTGTACGTGTCTTCAGAGAAAAGTATTCCTGAATACTCCTTCACAAAAGTAAAACAAAATAATTGACTTGAGTGTGATTAAAGGAATCTTTCAGTTCATGATACCTATAATTTTGTCTGGACTACTGGCTGAAATTCCAGATACCAGTATATGTATGTGGGCGTATAGGCTTTGATACTCCCACATAATTGATAATTTTCTTATCGTGGCGTTGTCATAGCTGCAGCGATAACGCTAGCGGGTCCGTGTAAAAGACGGTCACAATGGTTCTGTGTTTTAATAGAATGCCCTTTCTTGTGATGCGCCCTTTCGTGTATAGGAGGATGACGTTTGATTCTTCTGGCAGTGTTTTTTGCTTGTTTTGTTTCAGGACTTTTCCGGTTCTCTTTTCTTATTAAGGCATCCAATGCGATTTCAGGGCAGCAAAACTGGAAATATTCTGAATAAGGCAATCTTTGTGATATTGACACATACTGCTTCCCATTAGCACATTTAAATCAGCATTTCGTACGTGGACATTTAGATTGCAGAAACAAGCCCCAAGATGAGTCCTTTATTTTCAGGGTGGTACCCTAAAATCAGCCCAGGGCCCTTCCATGCAGTAACCATTTTCCGTCAGACTGTTTGCACCATGAGGGTCAGTATATACACTGTGACATTGTGGTTTCAACTCAGTATGTAGAAAAAAAGCTAGAATATTGGCTTTGAAAAGCCCTAGAAACTGCACTGGGTGCCTTTAAACAGCACCAACGTCGTCGGGGGGCTCATGGTATTTACAGGAATGCCGTCACAATTTGAGCCACGAAAATACATCCAATATTGTGTCTCAAAAACAAAGTATAGCCTGGGTGCCATCCGTTTTATAACGGGGCTCCTTGCACTGGCTACCCCCCCCCCCCAAATGGATGGGTCCCACCCAAGCACCAAAAAGGCAGTTGTAGTGGGTTAAATATGGAAACAGACCTTGTATGTTGTTCAAAAAGTCAAATCCAGAGTTACTGCTTCTTTCGTTATCATCTTGTACCAACGTTACGTCATCCCTGTCGAATGCATAGTACTAGCGTGAAGTCCTCGCCTAGAAGCTGGCCAACAACTATATATGTCCTGTACGTGGCATGCGGCAAAAGCACTTTTTCATTATAGTTCAACATATATAAAGTATTATGACACATTTTCACCCGCTATACACTGTGCTGATGAACATGAAAGTCATCAATGTTGGCTATGTGATAACAGTGTTCACGCTTCGCTCACTCGGCGGTTTATTCGATGGTCATATGGCACTAGCCTGAGTGCCAGACTGTTACCCTGGGCTTGGCTCATGGGCCAACATGTCCCCGAGGAAATTTACGACAAACCCCTCAGATAGACTCAGAGACCCCAAAACAGTCTGGAATCCAGGCTACTAGTATATGACACCGACCAGGAGTTATGTCACCGTAAACAATTAGGAAAAGCGCCCGTGGGCCATTCTACCTTAACTATCCAATGTCTGATCATCGAAATAAAAACGTTGAAGGCAGCATGCAGAATCGTCGATCAAGAAGTGTCCAGTTGTTCCCTAGGCAACAGCAAGTATTTATGGATGACATTCTCCGCAGACTCCAAATCTAATGCGAGCGGGCGAAAAAAATAAGTAGGACCAACAAAAACGAGGTTCCCACATTTTGAACTTTTGACTCAATCACCGTACAAATCAAATGGTTTTCATTCAGAGGGAACATCACATATACACAGCCAAAATCACATATCACTGCATCAAAGTAAGAAACAAAACATCAGAAATCAGAGCCTTTTCTAGTCTCCTCTCTTCATAGTTATCTGCCATCCACCTTTGAT